AGCAGGGTAAGAGCCTTGCTCCCCTCGCTGATGCAACTGTGAGGCTGAGATGGATTTGAACGAGGAGGGCATGCCCGTCTGGCCACCGTCCATTCTGGAGGACGGGGAGGACCCAGTAGGACTGCCCTCATTTGATGCATGGGTAGAGGGTGCTCCTATAGCTGAGCAGGAGCCTTCAAGCACCCCACCCAACTCTCAGCCCGCTGCTGCGCCCTCCAGCTTACCCGTTAACGCGCCAGCCCCCGAGCTCACAGCCCAATCTCCTCCTGCTCGCTCTCCTGCAGCTGCTGTTGATGCATCCATGCCCGTCGACCTGACGGACGACTAGATTTAGGTTTTTTTTTTTTTTTTTTTTTTTTTGATCAATGGATCCGTATCACATGTATGTTCAATGTAAACATCTTTGATGAAATACAAAAATGAACATTTCTTTGAATTCTTGTTGTATTTCCAGTATGCCCTTATTTACAATTGTCGAATAACGACTTGAATAAAAGAATAGTATACAGGCTAACTGTAAAATTTTCTAAGATTCTATATGTTCCAAATGTAAGGTAACTGGCATCCTTGCATATTGGCTAACACGTAAGAGCCAGGTCGCTTAACTCGAACTACCATATAGGGGCCTTCCCAATTAGGAGCGAGCTTGCCCATGTGTGAATGAGTGTTAGTTAATCCAGCTTTACGTAGGACCAGGTCAGCCACTTGAAACTGGCGAGCTCGGACCCTTTTATTGTAAAATTTTGCAACACGGTTTTGATGTGCCACAGTTCTTATTCTCGACATCTCCCTGACCTCTTCTACGAAGTCCAGGTTCTCTCTTAAAAGTTGCTCATTGTTGAGGTCGTCATGCTGGCCTGCTCGATCAGATGGCAATCCAACCTCGACGGGGATGACGGCTTCAGCTCCATAGGCCAGGCTGAAAGGGGTTTCGCCCGTGGCCGAGCTGGGTGTGGTGCGACAAGACCAAAGCACTTTATTGAGCTCGTCAACCCAATTAGAATGTGTAGCTAACACTCGTGCCTTGAGGCCTCGCAAGACGATTTTATTGGCGGACTCGGCTTGCCCATTGGACTGTGGTGTGTACACAGATGTCAAGGCGAGCTCAATGCCATAATCGTTGCAAAACGATCTCAGTGCTGCGGCTCGAAACTGTGGCCCATTATCGGCGATAATCCACTTAGGTATGCCGAACCTGCACACAGATGGACGAGCTGAGCCACAAACTGTGTTTGCATATATTTTACTTGTGATCTAAGTCACTAAAGAATACCTGCACAATATGGAATTGAACAAGAATTCTTCGATTTTCCTTTCTGTTGTCGTGGATAATGGTTTAGCTTCTATCCACTTGGTGAAATAATCCACCGCAATGACCAGGAAAGTGCAGCCTCCTTTGCCTTTGACGAAGGGGCCGAGCAGGTCGACGCCCCATTGAGCAAAAGGCCAGGGAGACGTAAGAGATGATAGCATTTCCCCTGTTTCAAGGAAGGTA